AGTGAGAAGGGGACATGTACCCTGACCAGTCCATCAACACCAGCCACTTCCCGTAGGGAAAGAACAGATGCTGGTTTCAGTGTCCCTGGAGGAGAAGGAGTAGGACCCTTAGCTTTGATAGGGACGCATGATAGGAGGGGTGAAGGTTGGTGCCAGTGCAGGATGGTTAGCATGGCCTGCAGCTGACACAGAAGGAGGGGAGGGGTCTGGAGAGGTCGAGCCAGTGGACTCAGAGGCGCCCTGGTGAGAAGAAGAAACCGAGGTAGCAGTTTGAGTTTTAGGCGGCATGGAAACAGGCTTGGGACAGAGGGGAGGGGGTTCATCAGCTGGGTCTAGAGGTGTGTGGTCATCTGGGGGTTGAGCAGATGTCATTGCTAAGAGGACCTTAGGTGTAGGGCAGGTAGAGTACATGGGGGGTGAATAACAGAGGTAGATGAATGCACGGATATATGGGATTTCCTTCCATTTATCGGACTGCTGGCAGTATGTATTAAGACTCCTTAAAATGACGGGGTCTAGGTTGCCATTATGTGGCCACGTGGTTATCCCATTGTCTAAAGGGTACCTGATCCAGACTTTATTGCAAAGGCGTATTAATTTGGAAGGCCTCAACTCAGGTGTTAATCATAAATATTTGAGGTTTTTCTGGTAGACAGCCCAGTGGGGTGTCTGCTGGTATGGACGAAGACGATGAGCCCATTGAGTGAGTTAGTTACCAATCTGTTAGTTCACCGATGCAAAGCAAGAGACTAAGGGATGATTGCGATACACAATGAGGACCAAGTTCACCTCCCTGGATGCCACAAGACTAGAGCATCCTGTTTCCTGGCTCTGTTATTACTACCACTTGCTATTAAATGACTACTGGCATTGGGATAAAAAGAATCCACCCAGGAGCTCCTACCCCTTTACCTTGGGTGTTTCCATATTAGGATCCATATGACCTTGAGGGCTTTGATACTCCCAAATAAACATGAGCCACAGAGGTGGGGCCTGGTCACAGCTTGTTCCTGTCTCACATTCCATGTGGCTTCTTGGAACGTATGGGGTACACCCTGGGGTACACCCTCCTGGGCCTGACCTGCTACAAATTGTTGCCCTATGCTTCACTATCTGCCAATGGGGCTTGCTAGAACACTACTGTAGAAAGAGCTATATGAACTAAAGCACACTGCTTGATTCATAACAGGCAGAGGTAACATTCTGATGAGTTACTGACTACATCCATGCTGGGACAGAAGAGTCTAGTCAAATAGTCTCAGACTTTGGATTCTTATAGAATGCAACAAAAGATTTGCAGGCCTTGCAACTAAACAGTTTTTCTATTACTTTTGTTGAAAGAATTTCTAATTTCATACTATAGAAGAGCAAATATAAATAGATAGCTACATTCATTTCCATTTGCTTAAGAAACGAGAACATTTGGAATGCTGATTGTTAGTTATTTTTATGGCAACTTTGTTATGTTCTTCACTTTCTCCCCAAGCACAACCTGAGGTTTAGGGGAATGTTCCTCTCATTTTTATAATCATGCTGACTATTCAAGGGGAAAGGATGGTGGAAATTCAACAGAAGGAGCACTCTGGCCAGGGGTGCTGCCACAAGGAGCTGTCTTGTAAAGTTAACTTGCTTTGACAAGTTCCAGATGTGATTCATGGGACCAGAAATTCTGATTACTGAAGCCTAACACTATCCAAGACACATGATTTCTGTCAGATAGAAGAGCGTTTAGATGATCTTTGTCTCTTTCTAGGATCAAATACCAGAATGTATATTGGCTTCTACTTCCAATTTTAAGGCTGATATTTGAATGCCCTCTTTTATGTTATATCTAAGAAGACACTAACAATTCTTATTTGTGGGTCTCTGTTTTATCTTCTGATATTTGGTCCCCACATTCAGCTACTTCCCTAGCTATGCAATGACCACAAGAGACGGGAGCTCTATATTCGTGAAGTGTATAGCTTAGGCTGGAGAGATGGATCAATTGGCAAAGCTCTTGACCTACAAGACTGAGAACCTGAATTGCACCTCAAGAACCTATAGTTTTAAAAGTAGGGCTTGTGTGTGAGCTTGTGATCCCAATACTAGGAAAGCAGAGGTGGGTGGAGCTTATAGATTGCTGGCCAGCCTGCCTAGCCTAGTTGGGGAGTTTGAGGTCAAATAAAGACCCTGTCTCAACAAAAAGTAATACAGACAGCCCCTGAGAGATGATGAAACCTGAGAATATCCCCTTGCCTCCACCCATATGCACAAACAAACACATGCACACTCCCACACATGTGTGCATACACTTACATACAAAATACGTAGCTCAAGAGCTTTGCGAAGGCCTTGGTTCTCCACTGGCTCCCTATAAATCTCTGAGATCCTTGCTTTGGAGGAAGAGCCATAGAGAGGTATTTCTAGCACTGAATGACATCTGGGGATAAACTGTGTGTGTGGTGAGTGTGTGTGAGTGTGTGTATGTATTGTGTGTGTGTGTGTATGTTCATAGTGGTAGTAGGGAGTGAACTCAGGGCCTTGTAGTTCAGAGTGAAGAGCCCTACCATTGACACACACCTATGACAGCTCTTTCTTACCTTTTTAGTTCTTTTTTTAGCCTTTGAAATAAGGTCTCTCTAATGTAGCTGAGGTTGTCTTCAAACTTGTGGTGATCCTCCTGCCTCATCTTCCCAAGTGCTGAAATTACAGCATGACCATCATTCCTAGTTTCTTCCCTTCTTTCTTATTTTCAGACTCACTGACTGTCCAGTCATGCTTTAAAAAAAAAAAACTTTAAAAATGTATTTACATTGGTGTTCTGCCTCCATGGATGTCTGTCAGATTACCTGGAACTGCCATGTGGGTAATGGGATTTAAACCTGGGTCCTTTGGAAGAACAACCAGTGCTCTTAACAACTAAACCATTTCTTTAGACCCCCAGCCATGCTTTTAACAAAGACAAGAGTATGGTGGCTAACCATGGTTCTCAGCTTGACTACATCTGGAATTTACTGAAACCCAAGCATCTAGCCACTCTTGGTGGGTTTTTCTTGGTTTGTTTATTTGAGATGGAAGATGCACTTTAATTCCAGATCATATGAGATTAGAAGGTCCACCTTGAATCTGGGCTGCACCTGCTGCTGGCAGCACACACAATCAGAAGTAACTGAAGGAAGCTTTATTCTTTGCTTGCTTCCCTCACTCTCACTGGCAAGTCCATCCACCCTGACGCAGAGGCACTCCATCATGGATGTTAGAACCACTCCTTTAGAAGTCCAGTGTAAACTGAAGACCAGAGGCTCTCTAGGAATTCCCTGGGACACCAGCAGCAGATTGGGACTTCTGAGACATCTAGCAAAGATGCCAGATTCTTTGCTTTTCCAGCAGGAGATGGCCATTGTTGGACAACCTGGACCACAGCATGCATGATGCATACCACTCTGATAAATAGCGCGGGCGCGTGCACACACACACACACACTCAAGTCAATTTTCTTCCTTTAGAGAACTCTGATTAATAAAGTCAGCATATAGTGCTACCATATTTTCTCTGTCTGTGCCTTGTGGAAGATCATGAGGTAAATGTATTTTTCATGGGTAAAAGGTAAATTGGAGCTTTCTTGTAAAAAAAAAAAAGAAGTATCAGAAAACACTACTCATAATTCTTTATTATTAATGCTAAAGTAAAAAAAATAAATATTTGTGGCCTTTCACTGTATTAACTGATTGTATTAACTGCATGGTAATACTAACTCCTTAGAAATTCTTTTACTATGTATATGTTAGACTTCGGCACACAGCTTGGAACAGACAACACCAGACCAAGCAGTTCCAAAGGGGAGGGGGTTTATTCAGGGCAGAGGGCAAAGGTAGGGAGAGAAACGGGAGAAGATGGTGGAGAAAGAGGAGAGAGAGAGAGAGGAGAGAAGTGGAGGCCGGCCATGACCACGTGGAGAGAGGGGGAAGGGAAGGGAGGAAGGGCGAGGAGAAGCTAGAGGCAAGAGAGGAAGAGAGTAAGAGAAAGAGGAGAAGGCAAGCAGCCCCTTTTATAGTGGGCACGCCTACCTGGCTGTTGCCAGGTAACTGTGGGGAGGAGCATACCTGGGTGTTGCCAGATAACTGTGGAGGTGGAGTTTAGACAGAATACTAACAGTATGCATTTACGCACACATACATACCTGTATGCCCTGTAAACAGATTGTAGCATGAAAATCATGATATGATATTCCAGGAGCTAGCAAAAAATTGATTGAATAAAGATGCCTACAGCCTGTAGCTGGTCAGTCCCTCTGTTCTGGGCTAGGTAGGGTGCTCTAGTCGGGGTGGGTTGTCATCTAAGAATGTCAGAGTTGGGGGTGGTGAAGTTCTGGCTATGACATAGCACTCAGTAGGTGGGGGTTACCTGGACAAGATGGGTCACAACTCAAGCATAGAAGGTGTAGATGATTTCCTGGCCTTGGCCCTTACTGAGGCCCTGGCAGTGGTAGGGCCAGGCTAGGAGGGATCATTGTTTTTGGAGATGCAACCTGTGGTAAGAGTTCCACGCATAACCCAGTGGCTCACTGCACACCCATGCAATATGGATTTAGTGGGTTATTTAAAAAAAAGAAAGAAAAGAAAAAGATGCGAAATTGGGACAGCTTTTTGATTGCCTTATTCACCACTGTTATTAGCTCAGACCCTAAAAACTGGTTTCTATCACAGCTGAATAAACGATAAGCATACACTGCAGCTCGTCTCTACTTGATCCTCAAGAACCAGTGGTTACTTTTTGTTTTTAGTGGAGAAAAGTAAAACCAGACTCAACCAAGTGCCTTTTACCAGTGTCCAGCGTGCTATGACCACAGTGTGAGGCCAAGACAGACCGCCAAGGACGGGGCGAGCTCTCCCCGGCGCCTTTTTTAACCCCAGGCTCTCTGGTTTAGCAGAGGACCGCTGAGCCCTCACTGCTGCACGCTCACTTTGAAAGACCACGCCTCTTGCGCAGGCGCCAAGGGCTTCGGAATGCGCATGAGCAATTCAAAGCAGCGCGGGAAGAATCGCGCTTGCGCGTTTGGCGGGCCGGCTCAGTGGGACGCGCTTGGGAGGCGGCTACCGCGGCCGTCCTAACTTCGGTGAACCGTAAGTTTCTGATAGTTTGTCCCACAGCCGTGGACGGCGAGGGACCGGGGACGAGTTCCTGATCGACTTAGGTCGTGCCGCCCTGCGAGCATCCCGCGGAGGAAAGAGTTGCGCCTGCGCACGGAACTTCCCGTTGGCGCTGGCGGACGGTCGGCCCTGCGCGCTCGCCCCGGGAGGCTCATTCATTCATTCATTCATTCATTCATTCATTCATTCATTCATTCATTCATTCATTCATTCATTCATTCATTCATTCATTCATTCATTCATTCATTCATTC